AAAAAAAAGAAGAAACAAAGGTCAGTTCGATTGGCTCGCCACAAAGAGATCCACCACTGCGATGGGCATGGAATAATACAATAAAACCTCCATGGCAACCAGACAACACAAGCACTGTCGATCGCACTTCACACGCCTTTGTCCATAACGCCTCACGAGCCAAGACAACGCCGCCCGGAATACTCACGCACACACAGATGACACACACGCACGCTGACAGAAAGAACTTGGAGGGAGTGTAGGGATAGGGGGAAGGATCCGATGTGTACAAGCAAAAAGGGTTCGCCTCTTGCGTAAGGGGTCGTTAAAAACAGATAGAACAAGACTAGCCAGCTCTTTGAGCAGCGTGAAAGGAGTGTGGCAGCATCTTTTTACTTTAAAATAAAATTTGTGACAGGAAACGTTTTCTTGTTTTCTCTCCCCCCCCAGGCTAAATGTTGGGAAAACAAATTGGCCTGCGAGACAATCGATATTCCATAAGAATCTTTTTCTAGTTTACACATGAGAAAATATATAAATTGGCATGTGTGACAACAGCGCCTTGGATTAACGGGCTAAGTTTATAAACCAGTACTCCTGTCTCACCAAGACTTAAAATTTGATGTATCACAATACCAAAGAGGTATAAGTGAGTGGGAGTAGAGGGTGGGGGTGGGTGGGTGACTTTGACAAGGAATCGATCAAGACAATAAGACAACCGAGGTGTATGGGTTTTTTTTTGTGTTGTTTGTTTGTTGTTGGGTTTGTTTTGTTTTTGTTTTTTTGGGGGGGGGGGTTATGAAAGGACGGAAAAAACAGTTTGTAAAAACGAGAAGCTGTCTCTTGCCCACTCCTGGTGCAAAATGTGGTTAAAAAACGAACGTACAGCTCAAGCAGCCTGAAAACGTTGAAACACAACCTACTTTTTCACATTGGAAGCGACACATGCAAGGACATTTGAAAGGTGTTGTCCCAAAACTCGAAAGCTGATTTTCAGGATTCAATATTCTAATTCAAACAGGTCGTATAAATGATTTAGTAAACTACAAATGTGTATGTGAGGGAGGGGAGGGGGGGGGGGGGGGGGACGGCGGCGCCACCATAGATCGAAGATAACATGTTTTTACCGCCCAAGTCGACATAGTTATATTATCTATGCCTTTTTTTTTCTCAGTCTCGGCAAGCGAATGGTCCCCATTCACACACACGCCTACAACCGAGGTGCTGCTGCTCTCCCCGTTCCCGGTTCGATTCACAAGAACAAGACTATTCGATAGGTTTCTTTTTCGCCTACACACGAACTCTGAAAGAGGTGACGGTTCTAAGCCGTCAGTCAAGTCAACTGACCTTGTATTCGCCCACGGCTTGCCTAACCCTTTTATGTGGTGACACCAATAGGCTGGGTGTACCGCCCGAGTCAATACGAAACGGGCAACAAAACGCGATTTGGTTCGAAAAATGCTTGTCACAGGCTAATCAGAGCATAGCTAGTTTCTTTAAAAATGGGCTTTAACTTCACGATTATTAGCCGCTGGTATGTCAGACAAAGCTACAAGGTAACTCTTAATATAACAATAATAGGGTGTCAGGGTTGGGAGTGGAGGAGAAAGATACAATAAAATAATCGTAAAAATTATTTTAAAATGACAAAATGGTTGGCATATTATATATAACTAATCATAATACAATACAATCAATGCAAAATTGCAAAGTGTTTCCTTCTGAGAAAGAGCAGAGGAAGCTATAATACTTTACACACTTTATTTCATAAAGAAAAGAAAAAGTACCAGCGGAAAAAGAGGACGTGTCCAGAAAAGATTTTTTAAAAAAAATTCTGCGCAGAGATTACCTGATTGTGAATCGGGAACCAAAGACAAGTTATTTTCCACAAAATGTATCCATCAAAATCCATTGACGACTTGTTTGTCTTACTTTAAGTCTTTTAACTAATTAACTCAAAAAATTTTTTAATGTTGAAAAGCAAAAAACTTAAAAAGAACAGATTAAAGCAAAATTAAGGATTCATTAACAAAAAAACTGAAAACATCCCACAAAATAAAATAGACATTCTTAAACCAAAAAAACAAACCACCCAATCATTTCATGAAAGATCTGTTGCTTCACAAGTTGCAGATTTTAAAAAAATATTAAACACAAAATATTTGTCCCTTACCTTTCCTGTGGCTCTTTTGTAGCGATGAACAGCTTTGGAAATCAGTTCTCTTACTGGAATGTCCCCTTCTCCACAGGGCACAGTTACCCTCACATTGTCAAAGCACACAATCACCTTCATTGGCATTCCTTGAATGACTCCACGTATGATGCTGAGCAGATCCTCTGCTTCAAAACACCTTTGGAGTGACTGCTTAACTCTTACTTTTCTTTAGCCTAATCACATTTTGGAACATTTTAATCTTAACATTCGAGAAGATAACTTTCCCCAAAAGACTAATCTAGTTCCTGATGACACTTGAAACACCCATGGTAACAAATCTGAAAGAAAAGGGAACAGAATGGCAAAATGAGATGTCTTTAGAGTCATGGTAGAAAAACATTGAAAAATTGTAATCTTATATAATACTGCTCTGAAGGACATGAACAGTGTAAAACATGAGAGAAAGTCTCTATTTCTTTCTGTCCCATAAAAGGGGAAGTCAAATGAAAACAGACAAAAAATTGTTTTTCTCAAAAAGTAAGACCAAAAGCAAATAAGATTTTTAAAAACCTTGTGTTTTTCATTCCAACTCAATTCATTATAAACACAAGATACATGATTTTTGTTTTTTCCTCTTTTCAGATAATAACCAGAGTTGAGGCTCTAAATTGACAAAAATCAAATTGATTTCTCATGACTTTGTTTTTCTGTATGATGCAGCCTTTTAACGATCTTTTGTTCAATTGGTTTACAATAACTAATTCATTTGTGAGCCATGCATAGAAATGGGAATATAATACGTGTGTGTACATTCTAACTAGTTGGGTTGGGAGATGATATGGGCAAGTAGATTGGCTGGGCAGAACATCCAACGTGTCAATTTGAAGCTCATTTCTCCATTAACCCATGCCTAGAGAATGGAGTACAAGTCTTACCAGTTGTATAGCTGTTTCAGCACAGAAAAATAAAATAATATATTATCACTGATTTCTGACAGCTGTTTGATATTTTTTTTAAACAACATATATATGATGTGTGGGCGCCTAGAGAAAGGTACCAAAAGTCGCCTCAGACCGTTTTGAGCTACAGGCTGATAATGACAAAAATCACTTTTTTGACCAAAATGTGTTTCCATAAAAAAACGATAGGTCCATCATTTTTTTACAATGTGGTCAAAGGGTTTTTATTGATCTGACTTCTAAATATTTTATCCCGAGTTATTTTTAGGGTATGATTATTATAATAAAAACAAATAATGTAAACTGCTTCTAAAAGGTGTTAAAAGCTATTCTTGAGGTAGTTTTCTCTTCCCTGTTATGTTTTACCATTGAATTCCTTTCATGATACAGATGTCAACTGAATTCCAAATTGGAAATGAATTTTCCCTGAATAAATACATTTAAAAATTCGTTTTTGTAAGTTGGATGTGTTCTCACGTTTGTTTTAAACTTAAAAGCTCATTTTCTCAAAATTCTCTCTTTATACCCTACCTCGCAAAATGTGCAATATCTCAAAAACTACTTGAGATACCTAAAAATTCATAGACCCCTGTGTTCAACACTGAATTTCCTAAGGAAATACCCTTAACTCAAAATGGTCAAAATCCGACTTTTGGTACCTTTCTTTAGGGACACACAACATATGTTTGGTTTTGCATCCAGAAAATAAAAAAAGAAAATGTGGTCTGACTTGACTCATTGCTGCCATTATAATTATGAGCAACTCAGAGCAGAGACAAAATCTTAAATGATAACAGGAACAACTTCAAATGTTATATTATCATTATGAATTATGTATTACATTTCCTTGAATTTAAGTTCAGTCACTGCAGAGATGCAATTCCCCTAAGAGAAAAGAAAAGCACAAACCTGAAATTTTACATCATTTCAGTCATTCATTTTTATTTACGAACTGACATGGGTACAAAATGTACAAAAAAATAAGTCATTTCATTAGAAAAGGATATCTTTATCATTAGAAAGTCTAGTAGTATCAGACAGGTACATGACAAACAGGTTTAGTAAAGATTAGATTCAGGGATACTGAGATTAATTAATAATTTTACCTACCGCTACCTTTTAGCAGCGCACTGTAACAGCAACCCTACCACAATTACAGAAATTTTCACTCAAAGAGTGCTGGAAACACCTTTCTGCCCCCCCTCCCCGCTCTCTTATTTTCATATTTAAAATAAAATCTATCAATTATGCTAATCACTATCAAAAGATGGTTGCCTGACAGCTTGCCATTTGAAGACCTTCCATTCCACAAATTCCTCATGACCTAGAAAAAGGAAGATTATTAAACTGTACATGGTTTAACAATCTTATTTTCACCTCTCACGGACAAGATTTATGTAGCCTATATTTTTCAAACTTAACAAATATGAGCTGAACAGATTTCTAATGACTGGAAATCTGTATGTCACAAAAGTGGAAAGTGTGAATTAAGAATAGCAGTAAATGAATCAAACATCTGCACATAAAAACCTCCAAAATCAAGGCTACATCCTCAAGATAAAATACAAGATCTCTACGTACATGAAGTGTGTGTATAGTTTATAATAATAATTAGTTATGTGGTGTTCAGGTTCACAACAGTACCTATAGGCAGGCCTTCCATTATCGTCCTAATCGATTAGTACACTGCATGAACGTGACTTTGTATTTTAAACCAAGACAGAACCAAGATCCAAAACCACAATAAAACATACTGGAAGTAGCATTTTTGAAAAGACTTCCGTAACGAGTGACCACTCAAACAAACACTTGTAATAAAGAAGAGACCTATTCTAACCCTAACCCTGACCCAACCCCTACCCTTACCCAAACCCTCTATTCCACTCCTGTTCCACAGTGGTCACTCATTACGGAATTCCTCCGGCATTTTTAATCTTTATACCCCCCCCCCCCCAGGGCAGTGCTACTGACTGTCAAAGTATCTTTCTAAAGGCCAATTATATATGATAATCTATATCATATAATATATAAACACGTTATATTTATCAATTTCATGCTCATACTGTGCCGGAACAACATAGAGGGAACTGCTGCTTTTTGTTATTTTCTCATCTTTACTTCATTCATCAATTTTCCTCTAACTTCTTTTGTATATTGGTCACTCAATTGTGAACTGCTATTGCCGGGGTGCTCTGATAGTCGAAACAGACTTTGTACTGTTGAGGCTAGAGAGGTGAGCAGATTAAACCTGATTCCACGTTTGGAATTCTCAGATGACATCCTCTCCTTGGCGCTCATATATATATGACCTTAGATGCGAGTGTCATTAAAAATCTTACTAAATTAAAACAAAGAATCTTTTTATTTTTATAAAAATCTGACTCTAGATTCAGATCAATGTTAGGCTCAGTCAATATAAATCATTTCATTTCAATATTTTGACACTTCAAGAGACCATTGGTTGAAATTAAGGTAATATTCTAGATCTATATCTAGATCTAGATTCTATAAAAAATAATTTTAAAAAGCCAAGTGAAAAGACAAAAAAGTTACATTCTCAGTCATTCTGGCAGGAACAGGACTTGGCGTTGGTCATTTCGGTAAATTTTTACTTTCACTCCCGCACATTGATGCACTGTTTCAGGGGTCAAACTGCAGTACTGTTTGCTGCAGATCACACATAAAGCCACTAAAACTGTCGCAAATCAATCATTTTCAAGACAATATTATAATTTAAAATCTAACTGTAAAATATCAAATATGGGTTAAAAAACAGGGGGATTTTCTTTTACCCCAGTGGGGCAGGCCCCCCTGGAACCCCCCGACTGGTCCAAAGCATGTCTATCTCAGTTAAAAACAATCAAATATTTCAAAAACTATTAATTTGCGATGGAAATGAAGTTGACATTCGTGTTCAGCGCATCAATATTTAGATCTAGATCTAGTAGAAAATAGACAACTGGTAGCTGAGTGTGAGACGGGAGGGAAAGTAAAAAAATACTGTCATTTCTATTCAGTTCAGTATTCAAAGCACTAGATTTAGATAGATTCTAGACATCTAGATCTAGATCTAGCACTGGTGTAGCTAACTTACAACAGTATGAGTAATGCACACTCAGTATGGTAAATGAAAGTGGCTATTCTCACCCGCCCGGAAATTCTCGCAAGATCATTCAAGATCAACTCCTCCCCTCTTCTCTCTCTCTGTCTCTTTCTGAATACTGTCTATCGGTGTGGACGATCAAATTGACCAAAACAAAGTTAAAAAATGATGTTAAAACACAAAAAAGTAAATTAATTTGGTTGTCTACAAAGATGCTACGGCTATTTAACTTTTCGAATAGAGCCGAACTACGCGGGTCGCCATTTTGTTTTGCCTTCTCGCGCTACTCCTCTCTCTCTTTCTCTCTCTCTCTCCACTGCCCACAGACAAAATTGTACGCTTTTAGTAGGCTACAGTTGTAATGGAACGTTTGTTCACAGGACAGAATTCTACAATTTTTCTTTATCACAGTGTAGAATTCTGTGGTTTAGGGTGAACGCAAAATTTGGTGAACGCGCACCAGGTGAGAATAGCCACAAGACTCGCCTGCACTATTCTCACTCCGGAGGTGGCCATGGTAAATTGTTATTGAGTTATTGTGTGTTTGGATGGGACACTAGATTATCTAGATTCTAGATTATTAGATAATTAGACCTACATCTAGATATCTAGATAATGAAGTCTAGATCCAGTATAATAATGGGCAAATCTAGATCGTGTTATAGATCTAGATTCTAGTACCAAGAACAAGAGTGGACGTAAGTCTAATGACAGACACCATTTCCTGGTGAGTGAGTCACTGAGTTAGCCAATTTTCCCCAAGTGTCTACAAACTGCGAAATGAAACCAATGTTTTTGTTGAAGACAAACAATACAAAGTGAATCAAATATTCTATTACAGTAATGGGAGAGCAAACTGTAGATCTAGACTGAAATGAATAGATCACTACCAACCAGTCTGTGCTCACGCACTTTCCAAACAAAATATCCCTGATCCCAAGCTCCGAAACACTCGATTCTCGAGGAGGGGGACAACAAAACACTGAGGAGAACGAACCCCGGGTAGTCATTTCAAATGATCGCAAAACAAAGCACATTTGTCAAGTTATCTTGCACTAAAATATTGTAAATATACAGTTTTCATTTGTACTTTTACAAATCATAACAAACAATAACAAAACTACGAAAAGTAAAGCCTTATTTCCGGTGTTTATATCGCATAAACTCACCTCTTAGCTGCAAAAGTCCCAAATCCAGTGAAAACTCTGCCTACCTACCTGCCTCGATTTCATTTCCGGGCAAGGAGGGATAAAAACTTGGAACTGGCAACTCTTGACCGAAAGAAGACGCATTTCAAGGGAAGCTATTCATTATTCGCTCAATGTGTACATATACAGGTATAATAGCCTCCCATTTGGGCGGATAATCGACCTTTTAATAATAATAATAATAATAATAATAATAATAATAATAATAACAATAATAGCAATAGTAATAGTAGTAATAATAATAATAATAATCAGATGATGATAAAAGTGATAATGATAAGTTTGCTTTGTGTTGTTTGTGTGCATAAATTATTTGTAGGCCAAAGCCAAAGAGACGTGACTGGAATCACCAGTACATATTGACATAAACACTTAAAAGCAAGAAAAATCTAACAGAACCAGGTTACGCAGTGACAAAAACATACACTTTACGCTCCTCCACTGCTAAGGGCCTCAAATAACAGCGGGGTAATTGCTTCGTCCCTTAGGCCCCTAAGGTGGTCAAGACTGTAGATTATAAACGGATCAGTAAAATTGTGCCTAAGAAAGACAGACAGAAAGAACGAAGGAACGAAAGAAAGAAAAGAAGATAAAAGAAAGAAGGAAAGAGAGAGAGAGAGAGAGAGAGAGAGAGAGAGAGAGAGAGATTGAGAGAGAAAGAGAGAGAGAGAGA